TTAGATTTTCATACTTTGGAGAATAGAGTTTTGTGTAATATTCATTAAGGATTTGTTGAATTTCTGAGGAGTCTGTTGTTATTTGGCTTTTATCATTTCTGATTGATGAAATTAGGGATTTTACTCTTCTACTTCTGGTTAGGTTAGCCAAAGGTTTATCTATTTTATTGACCTTTTCAAAAAAGCTAACTCTTTGATTGGTTGATCTGTTGTATGATTCTTTTGTTTTCAATTTCATTTAGTTCTGTTCTAATTTTAGTTATTTCTTTTCTTTTGCTGAGTTTTGGGTTGGAATGTTCTTCCTTTTCTGGTTGCTTGCGATGTCCCATTAGGTTGTTGACTTCCTCTCTTTCCATTCTTTTGAGGAAGGCTTGCATGCTATAAATTTCCCTTTTAGGACTGCCTTTGCAGTATCCCAGAGGTTCTGATAGTTTGTGTCTTCATTATCATTTTGTTCCAACAATTTGGTAATTTCTTTCTTAATCTCATCTGTGACCCAGCTATCATTCAGCATAAGGTTATTTAGTTTCCATTTTTTGTATGCATATGCAGATTCCTGTTGTTACTGACTTCAACTTTTATTCCATTATGGTCCAAGAAAATACAAGGAATGATGGTCTGAGAAAATACAAGGAATGATTTCTTTTCTTTTAAATTGCTGAGGTTAGACTTGTGACCTAAGATGTGATCAATTTTGGAGGATGATCCATGGACTGATGAGAAGAATGTGTATTTAGTTTTGTTGGGATGAAATGTTCTATAGATGACTGTTAGATGCAAATGTTGAATGGTTAGATTTAAGTCTAAAATGTCTTTGCTTAGCTTCTTTTTGGAGGATCTATCCAACATTGCCAAAGGAGTGTTAAAATCTCCAACAGTTATGGTGCTAGAGGTAATCAAGTTGCTCATGTTTGTTAGAGTTTCTCTTATAAACTGAGGTGGATTCTGGTTGGGTGCATAAATGTTGACAATTGAAATCTTATCATGTTGAGTGTTGCCCTTAACAAATATGAAATGACCATCCTCGTCCTTCCTTACATTGGTTGGTTTAAAGCCTATTGTATCTGCCAATAAAATTGCAACACCTGCTTTTTTCTGATTTCCATTTATTTGCCTGAATTATAGATGACCATCCCTTCACCCTGAGTCTATGTTTATCTTTTAAGGTAAGGTAAGATTCTTGAATGCAGCAGATGTCTGGCCTCAGTTTTTGTATCTAGTCAGCTAACCTGTGCCTCTTTAGAGGACAATTTAAGCCATTCACATTAATTGAGAGTATTGATAAGCCAGATAGTATTTTGGGTATCAAGTTTTTTGAATGTCCAACAGACATTTTTAATCCTTTTGCCATTGTGGAAGTTGGAATTTGATTTAAAGTTTCTGAGTGAGTTTATTTTTGTGGTGGAGGATTGCACTGGCCATTATGGAGGATAGGTCTGAGAATATCCTGGAGAGCTGGTTTAGTCATGGCAAATTTCTTCAACATGTGAATGTCATTAAAGTATTTAATTGTTCCATCACAGATGAAACTCAGTTTAGCTGGATACAGGATCCTAGGTTGAAAGTTATTTTGTTTGAGGAGATTAAAGGTCTATGACCACTCTCTTCTAGCTTGAAAGATTTGAGCAGAGAGATCTGCAGTTATTCTAATGTTCTTCCCCTTGTAGGTTATGGTTTTCTTATGTCTTGCAGCTTGCAGAATTTTCTCCTTCATATTAACTTTGACGAAGCTAATTACAATGTGTCTATGAGAATTTTTATTTGGGTTGAGTCATGCCAGTGTTCTGAAACTGTCAGCTATCTGGATTTCAGAATCTCTTGGCATGTCTGGAAAATTCTCTTTGATTATTTCATGAAGTAAAGCTTCTGTATCCTTCACAGCAACCTCATCACCTTCAGGTATTCCTATAAGGCGAATATTAGATCTCTTTGAATTATCCCAGCGCTCTCTTAGAGAATGATCCGTTTTTATTCTCCACTTTTTTTCCTCATTGAACATTTGGGAGCATTCAAAAGCTTTGTCTTCAATGTCAGAGAGCCTTTCTTCTGCCTGTTCCATTCTGTTACTGAGGGATTCTATTGTATTTCTCAAATCTTTGAGGGCTGCAAGTTCTTGCCTCAATGTGTCAAAATCTTTGGTGATTTTTGTCTTTGAATTTGTTGAATTCTTGAGACATCTTTTGAATAACTCCTTGAAATTCTAATTTCATCCTTACCTCCATTCCATTGATCTTATTTGCTATCCAGATTCTCAACTTGATTTCTGACATCTTAGCCATTTATTTATAATGGGATCTTGTGCTGTATCTGCCATATTGTTCCTTGGGGGAGTTGATGTACTCTGATTATTCATGTTGCTGGAGTTTTTCCCCTGATTCTGCCTCATGATTATTTTTCACTGTTGGCTAGATGGGCAGGTAAGGTGAAATTGGATTGGGAATTCCTGGGACTGTGGTTAACAGCCCTTTGTCCAGGATCTGGGACTGATGACTATAGCTTTTTCCTGATAGCTTTGCAAAGGAACTGTATAGTATTACAGTCTGAGGCTGAGGAATCCTGCTTGGGGTGGTGTGGTTAGGTGGCTCTGTCTTGTATTCAGCTGGTTCTTGTATGATCCTAGAGGATCAGTGACTCTGGTCATGTCTTAGCTGAAGTTTGCTTTCTTGGAGTCACACCTTGCCTCAGCAGAGGTGACCTACAGATATCACTCTCCTCTCTCGGCTCAGCTCCCAGTCTTCAGCTTAATTGGGGTACTTTATGGACATTATCTTCTCTCTGGATGGGAGCTTCTGTCAGAGGCTGGCTCTAGTGGGCCATTTTTCTCAAGCAGATCAGGAACAGATTAAAAATTTCAAGAGAAAAATGAAAATCTTCATTCAGAATGTTGGTCTCAGGTCGCTGGGCTGCTGTTGCTGCCACTACTACATTTTTTAAATTTACAAATAAAAATTATATATACTTATTAGGTATAACATGATGTGAAATATGTGTACATTATGGAATGACTAAATTGACACAGTTAACATGCATTTCTTCACATCCTTATCCTTCTTTTGTGATGAGAAAACTTAAAAATATTCTCTTTTGGCAATTCTCAAGAATACAGTATGTTGTTATTAACTGTAGTCACCATGTTATGCAATGAATATCTTGAACATACTGATTTGCTAATATTTTATTAAGGACTTCTAAGTCTATGTCTATGAGGGATATTGGTCTGTAATTTTCTTTTAATGAGTTTGTCAGATTTTGGTATTAGGCTTAATATATTGGTCTCATAAAGTATATTGGGGAAGCCTCCATACCCTTATATTTTCTGGTTGAGTTTTTGAATGATTGAAATTGTGTTTTCATTTTATTGGTTGAATTTATCAGTGGAGATATCTGTTTCTGGAGATTTAAAATATTGAGCTCTTTTTATTCAATGGATGTAGAATTGTTTAGATTTTATAAATCTTTCTGTAAGATATATCTTTACACATGTTACAAAGAAGAAATATACACTTTATATTAGTGCAACTACGTCTTATAGAAGTTTGTTTATTTTTTTAATTTGTCAGATTTATTGACATAAAGTTGTTCATAATATCTCCTTATTCTCTTAATGTCTGTTGTGTGATGTACTCCTTTTCATTCCTGATGTTTGTAATTTCTTTCTTCTGTTTGTAACTAGTCTGGCGAGGGGCCATTAAACTTCCTAATAATTTCACAAAAATGTTGATTTTGTTCATTTTTATTAACTCATTTTGTGTATTTATTTTTCATTGGTTAATATTTTACTTTTACTTGGTCTTTGTTTACTTTGGGCTTTTAATTCTTCTTTTGCTAGCTTATTAAAATAGAAGCTTAGATCCTTGATTTTTATACCCTTATAACTTTTAAAACATCATATTTCCTTCTGAATACTTTTAAAAATTATGCTTCACAAATTTTGATATTTTATTCTTTACCATTTATTTAAAATATTTTCTATTTTACCTAATGGTTTCTTCTTTGAGCTATAGGTTATTTAGAAATATACACTTTAACTTCCAAATATTTGGACATTTTCTAGGTATGTTATTGATTTCTAATTTGAAATGTGGCCAGAGAGCACAAGATCAGACAATTAAATTCATGAAGTCATCCTAAAAAAATGCTAAACACCTCATTGCTAAATATCACTACGGTCCCCTTTGAATACTCCAGTTGGCCATCTGGTGATCATCCAAACTCTTGTATTTTGCATGATTTACATTCTTCTAAATGTATTAAGATTTGTTTTCATAACTCTGGATATGGTCTATCTAGGTGGAATGTTCCATGGTGCACTTGAAAGAATGTATATTCAGCAGTTGTTGTGTAGTGTCCTATAAATATCAATTAAATTAAAATGTTAGTTTGGTTTAGTCTTCTAATTCTTTTTTTTTTTTCATTTTATTTTATTTTCTCTTTCTTTGATTTCTTTATGGTTGAGACGTAGAATTGTTAAATTTTAAAATTTGAGCGAAAGCTATGAAGAGAGGTAGATAGCTCCCTTCTAGTCTTCTAATTCTTACTGATGTTTATTCTACTTGTTCTATTAATTACTGAGGGCAAGGTGATTAAAGCTCCAATTCTCACTGTGTACTTAACTATTTCTCCATTTAATTCTATGTTTTTGCTTTATTTACTCTGAAGGGTTTTGTTAAATGTATACACATTTGGTATTATTGCAAAATTTATGTGTATGACCTTATAGAATATGTTTTGCATATTACTCTCTTTATTTTTATTGCTCTTTTGTTCCTTTCCTTCATTTTTCTTACTTAGTTATGGTTGTATTTTTGTGAATCTATTTCCTATCAGTTACCTTAAATTATTTTGAAAACAGAATAGGATATAAATAAATACAAAGAAAATTTATTGCCTTGTTCCTTAAGTATAATTTTGTATATTGGGAAACTTTTACCACCTCTTTTTAAAGTATAGAATAGACACATGAAAATTCCTTTCTACCTGAATATATTTTATCTTCCTAGGAGATAAAGATAAATTTTACAACAAGACTATTAACAAAAATGATGTTGCGGTCATTTCTGATCTTCAGAAAAATTTAAATGCCATAGGAATCTGTCTAACAGATGATAAAATACAGGAGGCTTTGGTTAATACGAATCCCAATGGTGAGTAATTAGTTCATTTTAAATCAGCAAAGTTTGAGTATTCAACTTCACTCTAAAAGCACTGAGAAGATATAATCAATGTATCTTTGTATTATCTCTGTATTTATTTTTTAAAAGAAAATTTGAAACTATTCTTTCTCATTTTTTAAATTGATAGGTTTGTGTTAAAAAATAAATTTTCAAAGTAATATCTTTGGTGACTTTTATTCTAGATCTAATCATATTTGAATATAGCACAAGATAATTGTCATTCCTCTACTTTTTGTTTTATAGCTCTGGTTTTATAATATCAAATGGTTTTTTTTACAAGAACACTTAACTTGCTTCTTCTTTTTATTTTTTAAAAAAGATGAAGTGGTGCATTTTAAGGATTTTATCAGAGAATTGGCCAACACTGATGACTTTATTGAGTGCCAAAGTAAGTATGAAATTTAAAATGAATGTGAACCAAAATTTCATGTCCCTTGTTTAGGGTTTGTGTGTGTATGGACTTTTAACATGTTCTCATTTAAGTAATATAGATATATTTCCTTTATCATGTTCTCATTTAAGTAATATAGATATATGTATATGTAAAGAACT